TTAGCCTCTATTTTCATCCCTCACTCTCAGAATCGACCTAACTTTTGCTAACCTGAATTTGTTCCACAGTGTAATAGTAGGTATTTTCAACGGAAATTTTCAACGGCTGGCTATGCAGAGAGTCAACTATTTGCGCGTTAAAAGATTACCATTAATTAGTTAAGAATTATGTAACTATCAAATATCATTTGTCAAAGGCCTGTTGGAAAAATTGGATGCATCGCTAGTTTTTTTCTACTTTTTCTTAGAAAAGTGTAATTATTTTTTTCTCATAAAACTTATTATTCTTAAGTTCCGTGATTCCTTTTATTAGTCTTTCAGCTCGAAAACAAAAAACATTTATTTTAATTTGGTGTAAATTGTCAAAATTAGCACGCATCGAAATAAAGATGAAATGATATGTAAATAAGTCGATAGCCAAGTTCACAAATTAAATCAGAATTAATTCAAGGTGAATTTTATATCTATTGAGGAGTGGGACTTGGCATGTAATATATCGTTATTATAGTATGGAAAGGGCATAACTCACATCGTCGCTGAAATACAAAAATACGTAACTAACTAAAAATCCAAAATTAACTTGGTGATTGATTATTATGCATTTCATCGAATCATAAGTCCCCACATCGTTTTAGGCAATACAAAAATTTATTAGTTGTCGTTTTTTGGAATGGAGCAACAAAACGGATTTGATGGCTTCCCTACAAGAATTGTGTGATGGAAACTAACACATTCTCATTTATCTTACTAACACATTTGCAAATTTTGCGTTGGTTAAAAATAGACCATTAAATAAGGCCATAAGTTGGAGGAAGACGGAAGATCACATGTACACAAATGTTTACATCAAATTTTTCACACTGCCATTTAGAATTTGATAGAAACTTGTAGGTAGCCAGTGACAGAAATCTCTATCAGTCTTGCCACTCAAATGATTTGTCAAATGATAGTCACTGTTCTTGCAGGGTTATGGTACCGACAGCGGTGAGTAATTAATTGTGACTGCCTGCAACTGGGAAAAGCCGATTTCAGCTAACTAATAAAAAAAACTAATTACAAGGTATTCGTTACAGGAGAACCTTTCCAAGAAGTCACCCGGGAACTAAGCAAATCCGAGACCTTTATCGTCTGTGATTCCATAATTCAAATTATTATAAAAAAAGCGGTACCTTTTTAACAAAATAACAAGATTTTAAATTTATTCCGCTGGCAGCCACGATTTTCAAAACAGAATTTTCTTCGAAATTTTCATTCCTAGAAAATAACAATTTATTTGCCATATTCACCTATTCACAACCTCGCTACATGCGCACATTTTTCAAACCAGTCAGAGAAGACAGGATTAAAAATGAATTACAAAAACTAAAATCGAAAAACGCTGATGTCGTAACCGGTTCTTCAAATTCTGAAACAATCAAAAGGATTGTTGCTCCAAATTGGAACACAATGGTGTTTAAACAACGATCTTGCCATGATGCTAAATAGATTGTGAAGATGAAAGTCAGGAGGATACATCCGACATTTGCAGCCCCGATGCAATTCCCAAAAAGGAATTGTTGCACCGCAATAAAAAAAAGAAACATAACTGAAAGTCCTCTCAACTGGAGCAGCGGCAAACGAAAAGAGTTTACAATTTTGTCAAGTTTCAAGTTTTTCAAGTTTGTCGCCTCGAGCGAGTAGTTATTTAGTGGCGCAGGTTTGATTTACGACCTGTTAGGAAACAGGCTGTAATCTGAAAAGGCAGCAAAATTACTCTTTCTTAAATACAATGTTACAATTTTTTAATTGAAGTACTAAATAAAAAAATATTATTAAAAATTAGTAACTTTTCCATTTTTTATTTACCTAAATCCCTTAATGTACTCACAAAAATTATTTCTTAAAAATATTTGACATTCGCATTCGCATCTGCGGATGTTAGCTTTTAAACATCCGCATCCGCATTCGCATCCGCGGATGTCTAAAATTCCACATTCGCAACATCCCTAGTAGGTACATACATACGCAGCGTTGCCGAATTGACGATTTCGTCGTCATTTTTACATTTTTATAGCCCAATGACGTTTTGACGATTTTTCCCCCCAGATCACGATTTTTATACCCGAGTGCACTTGTGCACAAGGGTATTATAACTTTGTTCACGTAACGGTTGTTTATAACAGCCCAAAACGACTCGAGATAGATATAAACAAATGTATACATAAATGATCAGAATGAAAAGAGAAGTCGATCAAGTCATGTCTGTCTGTCCGTCCGTATGTCCCACGCCACTTCCAATATAACGCTAACTGCGTTATTTTAGTAACTACTGAAGCTTATTCACTGAAAATTGATATTTACAATGATTTTTAGACGTAAAATAAGAACATTAAAATTTCTGGGAAATGGGCGTAGCCACGCCCACTTATGATTACATGTGTATATTTTGGTAACCACTACACCAATTTCTCCCAAACTTGGCACAGTTTATAGCTTTGGTACAACATACCAAACGGCTGAAAATTTTTAAAATCTGACAGTAACCACGCCCACATCCCATATAACGATAATTTAGAGAAATACGAAATCTTCGATAAATCAGTAAATACAGAAGTTAATATTTAATGGGCTTGGCACCGCGCACTTATGACCAGGTATGTATATCTCGGTAACCGTTCGATAAATATGTACCAAACTTGGTACGACTATTTCGCTTACCACATAAAAGCAAAACGTTAAAAATTATTGAAATCGGACTAAAATTACTTTCAATTTTCATATAACGGTAAATTTCAGAAATTTTTGAAACTTCGATATTTCGAAATTGAAGGACGCTAATTTACTCAAAATTGATACTAACAACAAACCCTTGAACATCGGAGATGTTTTTTGAGGTTAGAAAAAAATACAGATGTGATGAAGCAAAACGGACTTCAGATTCGTGTTCAGGGACCCCAAAAACATATAACAGACTAGGTTTGGTCAAAGGAACCTTTCATCGATTTTTTTTGTGGACCTGTGTTATTATAGAATTTCGGAAAGTGGGTGTGATACCGCCCACATCTAACTATGCAAGTTTATCTCATTAAGGGCCGGTTGTTCAATGTATGGTTATCACTACTTCCCGGTTAAACACCATTATCGACGTTTTTGACATCATGCATATAACATGTGATCGATAAAGCAGTCGTTGAATTTAACCGTAGCTTCTGCTTCCGATTTGTGCCTATCAGACTTTGAATAACCGGCTCTAAGTATAACTGAACACAATATCGACATTGTTAGAAATATGGGTAGAACCACTCTTCTTACCATGTTACGGCAGTTTTCAGAAAGGTGAAAGGTGAAAGGTGTTCGGCTCCACCCAAACTTAAACTTGTTTACTTGTTTATTTTAGTTTTTTTCACTTAATTACATATGCATGTAAAATTTGTTTAAAGGAAAACGTAATCCAAAATACAACCATCATTTATCTAGTTTTTTCTACAGCCGTGCTTTTAGTTATATTAAATTTGTTCTAGAGTTGTAACTAAATCGTTAATTTGCCCTGCTAACACTGATTTGAAAGAGACAGAAAAATAGCAGAGGGAATCTGTTCAGTCAATATGTCTATCAGTTATTAAATGGTAATGTTACACTTTAAAACTGGAACAACATCTCTAAAAACTTCAAACCAGTGGAGTTCAACAATTTAAAAGCAGTTGTGTTTTAAATTGCAATTATAATTTTTCGTTAAAAATTACAAATCCACTTTTGTTAACCCATAGGCAATCTGGTTTGCCTTTGGTTTGGTAATGTGTGGTCATATTCATTGCATGTAATTTATGTAATTTTGTTTGTATTTCTTATTTGTTAAAAAAGTATAATAAACAAAAATTTTACTCTTTTTTGGCCAAAACTATAATTTTTTTTAGGGTAAATTGACGTTTTTTTTATCGAAAGCTTTCGGCAACGCTGTACATACGTATGTAAGTAACTAAGAGCACTGGCTTTGGATTTTACTAAAGATTGGTTTTCACTAAGTCGTATTTTGACGCAACTTTATCTCCTTTATCCATACCTTTACCGATGATATTATGGGCCAAAAAATGAAAGATAGCCGATTTCGCGGAGCATGTGCACAACTAAAAACCTATCCTGATCCAAATTAAACGATAAACCGCTTTTTGATCCCATTTGGCAATGTGTTTTCATTTATTTGACGACAAATGCCACTGAATTTGACATAGTGAAAACCAGCCTTAAGGCTATCTGCACGCTTGTCGTCCAATTATGGACACACATGCATTTCAATGGAGGTCTGCACACTTGTCGTTATCGGCAAATCGTAGAGGATGCAAAAACGGATAAGTACGACACTATCCCTTGCTAATCGTTATGCCCGCATTGTTTGTTTACATTTTATGGGAAAAATTGTTGAAAAAGTTAATATTTGGATTAAAATTACATAAAAATGAGTATTTCTTGCATAAAATCTGTGAAAATTACTAAAAAAGTGGATAACTGCAATAAAATTCAATAAATGTGCGAGTTTTAACTATCAAATATGACAAAATTGTAAAAAGCCCCTGCGTGCGTGCACAAAACACATTGCAGGAAAAGGAAAGAAGAGAGATGAAGAATGAAAAATTATGTCTAGAATTGTTGCAGCACAGTTCATTTTAAAATGGCAGGTTTCTCTAAAAATATCGCGAAAATATCAACCAAAAAATCATAAAACACCTGCTCTAAACGAATTTTTAGACGACAAATGAATTGAAATATCACAACCGAGTGTGCAAAAGTGTAGTCGTCATGTAATCTTTGCATCATGATTGTGACGATGAAGCAACTATGATTGTACGACCAATGTGCAGAAAGCCTAACTGTGTAAAAGGGAAAACGCCGATTTGATCATGTTTGGAAATTATAGGGAATTTACATGAGGCGATTTTTAGTTGAAAGCAACAATCGCCTGGTGTAAACAGCCTTTCAACTAATCGCTTACAATGAAGTTGGTCGGCTCCCTACTTTCGTTCAACTTTTGGTTCAACCAATCGCCTGTGAAAGTTGAATCATGTAAATTCCCTATTAGCACACCAGTCGCTGCTGGTGAATTTTCCTGTCGGGTAACTACGTGCCGCCAATAATAAAGCAACTCAAAACTAATTTTAGGTTTACTTATCTACAATGCATGTATAGCAAAAACAGCATGTGATCGCGGCGCGCCGGTTGGATTTGTGAAAAGTCACAATCAACTAAACTGAGATGAGGCATGCACTGAGACAATGCCTCAACGCGTCAAGGCGGAGCGGCGAGCAACAGGCAAACCAACTAAAAGCAAGGCAACACATCGCAGTAGATCTTGTAGAGTTTTACTAGAGTCTACGAAGAGTAACTCAATTCAGTTGAGCATTGGACGGCGGAGCAAGCGCACGGATTACTTGGGATCGAATTGGATTGCCAAGGTACGGATCGGTTCGTTAGTGGTGAAGCAAAGAAAAACTAAAAAGGTTCAAAGAAAAGTGATATTCAAGAATTTGTATTTGTATGTGTGGGTGTATGCTAGTCTCTGTCTCTAGCTGTCTGACAGGCAGTCATACTAAACGACTGTGGCTGGCTCCATGATGAAAAATAAAACGCGCAAGAGTATCTAAGAAATTATTAAAGTGAATGTTAAACCCATCAAAATAAAGCAAAAGAAAAATTAAATTTTTAGGCGCACATTTTTTGGAAATTCGAAGCTGGAGAGAAACTTTGTTATGCTAAAATGCACATGTTCAAAATATTATTTTATGCAATTTAAACAAAACTCTTCAGCATATTCAACAAGCTCATGTATGTATACGACTACAAAAGCAATATGCACTTATGGACACAGAACAAGTTTGTATGTTTAAAATAATGTCTCAAATTACATATCATTAAGTTCGTAGAACCGAAATTTCGTTTAAACCAAAAGCAAATACAAAATATCAAATAAGTGAGAAGTACATGTATACATATGTATGAAGAACTGCAGTACAACAACCTCAACAAAACAGCATAAAAATTATGTTTTTATCTTGCAACTCGAAAGCAGCCGTGAATTAGTGTATTTGACTTCCCGTGCATTTGCTCTGAATCTGTATTGAGTACGGCGAGCGAAGTGAGTAGTCAAAGGGAGTTAAGGCCATCTGATCGAGCGCTCAAGTGTAAAAACTACCTGTGCAACGAAGAAAGCCAGCTGACCGCGAATAGGGCGAGACACTCGACGGGCAATTGTGTAAAGGTGTAAAACGATGTAAAAAAAACCAAAACAGATACAAAAGTATAGAGTAAAACAAATTACGAAATAAAAAAGTAGATAATAATAATAGATTGGCGGTTACACATATGTTAGTGTTTGGCCGAGCTTCTCCTCCGATTTGTGGTGTGCGCCTTGATGTTGTCACACAAAGCGGAGGGACATACAGTTTTACGCCGACTCCGAACGGCGATTGTATTTTTATGAGAAGCTGTTTATCATGGCAGAAATACACTCGGAGATTTGCCATCGCCTGCCGAGAGACGACCGCTGTTAAGAAAAAACGTTTTTTCTAAATTTTTTTGCGATGTTGCTTTGACCAGGGTTTGAACCCAGGTGCTGCGGAGTAGAAGCACGCACTGCTTACCACCAGTGTTGCCGCGCCGTCTCAAGAAAATGTATCCCTGACCAAGCCAAAAATGTATCCAATTTTTTTTGTTACATATACATCTCATAATTTGTAAGAAAAACAAACATTTTCATGAAAAAGACAAAATTTAACCCATCCTAAGGACTTGGAATACATGTGCATAAAATCAAGCATTTGTAATTTCAATTTATAAAGTACATTTTTTGTGCATAAGTATTTTGCAAAGTAAATATAATAAGTAACACTCTAAAAAGAGCATGTAAAACTACTGCTGAAAAGTATCTATTTTTCAACAAGAATCTGTATAAATATACGTATGAGATGTTCAGTATTTGATTTTGAACTTGGGATCTTTAAAATATACACATAAATACACATATATAGAATGTTTAAAATTGCAAAAATTTTCAAACTACAAATACATTTGAGTAGTCTACTTGCAAAGTGCGCTATGTAAAATTTTTTCGATTCTTAGTTTTTGGCGGATTACGTACCAGTATTTAAAGTAGTTTCATGTCCACTAACAACAGAGTGCAAAATCTTTTTATATTCTGAAAAAAAAATAGCATCAAATGTTAAGTATTCTTCTAAAAGTCGCGATCATACTTATTTATGAACTTTCAACAGTATCAATCTTCTGATGAACTTAGAAAGCTGCTTTAGGTCGTATAGACTGTTAATGTTATCTTATGACATGTTATGTTATGTTACAATTTTAGAAGGCTCCTATTTATCCAAATTTTCAGGTAATAATAAAAAAGATTCAATTTAAATGTTACTTGTTGTCGTAGTCACTTTTTAAAATTTATGGCTTTCTATTATAAAATCACATAACGCTGTTTGCAAGTGGACTACTCATTTTCTACTAATAATAAACATTACTTTATTTTATACATTTTATGTGTAATTTTGCTCTTGCGACCAATTTGGTATGTACGGGTAAACCGGCAATGATTAATTTTATTACACGGCGTGCGAATTTGCACACATTAAAAGAGGAAACTGGTTACCTCTCTTAATATGCGCAACTAAATAAAATTTTTTTAGAGTGTATTTAAACTCTTTTCAGTAAAATTCATAAAAGTCTCCTTAAATAAATCAAAGTTAGTTTTTTGAACTGCATTGAAATCTTCTTTCTTTTTAAATTAACAAATGAAAATATGTGATATGAAAGATATTACTACAGAAAGAGTATAAATTACTTTATATATGTATATCGTCGTTTAAAGTACAAAACCGCGTATCGTCATTCTGCAAAACCGCGTAACTGACATTTGCTGCCAAAAATTGGATTTGCTCACACAAGCTCTTGGCTCAATCCTTATCCTTTCGTCCTGAAATATACTAGCCAGAAATGCGATTGCTTTATAAAAAAGAGTACCATTTTTAAATATGAGTGTTTTTACTCTCTAGAAAATAATTGATGCAACCTCACATACGCGGTTTTACATTTTGTTGATAAGCGGTTTTGTACTTTAAACGACGATATGTATATTAATATCTTGCTTAAAGCATCCTTTTAAGCTAATTAAAGCAATTGCGCTTATACCTATTTTGGTGAGATCTCTTCATATGTTCATTGCTTCGTTCACAAAAAACGCTTACGCTTAATAGCAATTCTTTATACGTTAAGAAAACGTAATGCTTTCTACCATCTTTAATGAAAATCGATTTTTTAACGAAAAAAACTTTATAGGAAATATAAAATTTTGGCCTATTTAAAAAAGTATCCACATTTATACTGACCGGAAAAAATAAGCATCCCTGCTTACCACTACACCACAGCGGCCGAAAAAAGTAGATAAACCCAGAAAAATATGGAAACAAAACATGAATTTGGCTTAAAAGGAAATAATTGATTTGCATGCATAAATATTTTACTCCATCGTTGTTTGGTACAAAAAGAAAATACCTTTTAAGCAGTAAGTACTAGAAAAAGCACATTGAATTGAAGAAATGCACCAGTGATGATAGACATTCTCTGCTAAATTACCCACGAAAATCGGGAGAAAATGCCTCAACTGCCACATCTCGGTACCCAATACTTCAAAAATATCTCGGTACCCAATACTTCCTTTGCGGTACCCAATACCGATTCTTTACATTAAACCGTCGCCGCTTTATGTATTTAAAGTTTATAAAAAAAAAAATATTTTAGTACCATTTTATATGCTATCATTAAAAAAATTGAACTTGTCGCAGCAGTAAAATATTATTTTATCAGTTTGCACCTTAGTAGATCCAAGGTTCGAGAACAATGCTTTGACAGAAGAAGAAGCCTTTCAGACCTACAAAGATAATATCGTCCGATCCATCTAGAACAAAAAGTTTTCAGACAAGTAACAGTTCCTCTGCATTATGGCGACAGACCGACATACGTATGTACATATACATATACATTTTTTATTTGAAACAATATCAAAAGTTCTCTTTGCCCTTATATTCGGCTTTTGATAAGCGAGTCTCCCCTGAGCGGGTTTTTCCATATTTTTGGCCTATGTGCGCTTTTTTAGAGACCTAAATATTTCGGTACCGCGTATCGAAAGTATTGGATACTTTTTAAATCGGTACCGAGTATCGATCAATACTTAAAAGTATTGACTCAGCACATCACTACATACAGGCCATTAACGTTGAAACGAAATAAATCATCAATCGTTATCATCGAAACAAAATAAATCAACGAAAAGTTGTTGTTGTATACCATTGCCAGCTCACTATTAACACCTAGCACCTAAATGCATGCTACAACTTCAGCTTTAACGATTGAATTTCTTTCGTTAAAAACCAAAATAGAATTATTTTGGTAATTACCTAAACGATAATAAAATTATAGTTTAAAAAACTGTAACCTCGCTGTTATAATTTCCATTCGTACTGTCATTAGGTATGTAACTTGAGAATAGAAATCGCTGCATCTTTTAGGCGCATCAATATTACAAAGTTACATCCCGAGCTAATAAAAGGGAGGTAATAATAAAAAACTGAATTGTTTCAACAGAAACTATTGATTTTTTTGGTAAACGCTAAAATTTACGTTACAATGCATCCTTGATATATACATATATTCTTTCGAAATTCAAAGGTCTGTAGATTACGCAATAAAGGCCTAAAAGAATTTAAAAGCATCTACTACATTCATAAATAAGCTTCAGTGTTTCTTAAAACCTTAGATTTTGAACAAACTTTTTTGATTCAAAAGCAACCGTTATCGTATATATACATAAGTGAACTATTTAACGTTTCATCAGATAATTTGTTCTGCTTTTTACATTAAACACCAGTTGCAATAGAACAGATTCTTTCTCACTCAGCACTTGAATTGGTTAACGTGGGAAAAATTTCAAAATTGTCCTTATAATTTTTAATACTTATACATAATTTTACTCCACATCACATCTTCAGAACGATTATTTACGTAAGAGTGTCAAATATTCTTGAATTTTTATCAATTATGCATCGATAATTGTGTTAAATGAAATGCCCTTTTTTATTTGAAATGTCCCTTTTAATAATTTTTCTTGCAAAATATACCTCAAATAGCGAAATTACCCAGAATCTGGCATCACTTGTATGTGCTTTCCACTGAAAAATAGTTAATTTTTTCATATATATTACACTACTCTATATCGATTTTTGTGACACTTTTCACTTTTGTGAAAAAACGAGGTCAATTGCATCGCGCAAAGAAATGCGGTAAATAAGAATAATATACTTTTCTCAAAAGAACTGTTATTTTAAAAACAAAAGGTCTTATTTAAGAAAAAAAAGAGCTTTAAGTACAAAAAAAGTTTGTTCAATATATTGCACGATTGTACTGAAAGGGTTAACGATAATCTAAAATTTTTATATGAGAATAGAAGTCGGTTTTTTTTTGCTTAAAAATTACTTGTTGATAAACCTACTGGTTGAACAGTTATTCAAACTTAAAGTTCAATTTATGTAATTATTACAGTTTTTCTCCTATTTTAGGTAACTTAATTCAAATTATCATTAAATATTGAAATTTTTACAAAAATTTTGCAAATTGTGATTCCCTGTTAGAAAAAGTTATTAAAATTATTTTTAAATTGTTGAGCTTTAGAGTTGTGAGTTCTTCTAATTTCCTACAAAAATATGGTTCACATTTTTTAGTTCGATAATTCATAGCCGAAAAAACAAATTCCAAATTTAAAAACAAGTTTTTTTTTAAGTAATTTATATGGAAAATAGAAATCCGCGATGCGCGACCTTTTAAACTTAGGTAATATTAAGGTTTGCGCTTTTAATAGTTATCTTTTAACATCCCTCCGGAGGTATTGAAAAGGGGGCTATTAAAAAAAGGTTAGTCGATTTTATCGAATCAGTCTAATGTACATATATAGAAGCACAGTTCCTACCACTTGGTTAGACGCACCCGAATGTGCAACAATAATTTGCAAAATATAGAAATTGATAAGTTTTGATTTTAAAAGTTTAGCAAAAGTTATCTCATACACAATTTATGAGACTCAAAATGAAAATTAGGGCGCATGTCAAAGACTTTAATTTAGATATTTATGCACAATTTTGGGCTTAAGGCAACTTTTTCGACTATTGAACGGTTCGATATGTAGGAGAATTATAGGTATCAAACTTTGCTCTTTCTAAAAAAATATCCTCAATTTTAAAAATTCTTTAAACTTCGTTATATGCTGGTTAATTTCTGCCTGTTATATATTATT